TTGGGACGATAGCGGAGCTCATCGTTCGTTAGGTGGAGACGGTCTCGACCTTTGGTTGTTTCTTTTCTTCTCTTTTTTTAGCCGGACGCCATTCCTCGTCCAATTAAGCCGCGGACAGGAAAGGAGAATAAATTACGGAACGGTATTCTTGGGAATTGCTACGGGATACCGATAAATAATTCGCCTTATTTAAGCTTGAATGACGTTCAATTAAACGCAATTTAAATATATAAGACGATGTTGCGACCGATGTTTTCTATTGGCGTGCAATACTCTTCGATTGTTATTATTATTATTCGTGATATATTTCTATAATGGAAATACATTTTTTTTTTTTTAGAATTTTATTTGACTTTTTATTTCGCGTTTATATATATAAGAGTTGTCTTTACGATTGTATAATTCAATCGGAGATACAGAGAAAATTATCGACTTGTTCATCGAGTTAAGGGAGGAAAAGAGAAGAAAAATTTCTTTCGTATCGTCATCATCGATATTATTAACAGGATTGCTGTGTATGTAGGAACAAATCGAAACGGCGAATCATGATCGAAAACAAACATCGACGAAGAAAGAAAGAAAGAAAGAAAGAAAGAAAGATTCGTTCGCCATTCATGTTCGATCAGATCGATCGATGGGCAAACGTTTGTTTAACAGGAAGCTATTCCATCGAAATGGATGGAGATAATTCTGTCGACTCGAACAATGAAATCCCCGTGCGTTGATGAGAGAGAGAGAGAAAGAGAAAAAAAAGAGAGAAGGGAGGAACATTGGAGAAAACGAGAAAAAACGAGAGAACGAAAAGGCAAAGGTAGAAAAGATATATTTTTTCGAATGTTGAAATAAAAATTGATCGAATTTCTTCCTTTATATATTCTTTATTTGTCATATACGAAATCTAATCTTTTAACAAGTAATCTTTATCTCATTCAATTCCGTCGTTCGTTCGAAAAAGGAAAAAAAAAAAAAAATTCGAAGAAATTCAATCGATAAATAGGATAAGGGGAAAATGATGTTGAGTATAGAGAGAGAGAGAGAGAGAGAGAGAGAAGAGAGGGGGGAGGAACATTGGAGGAAACGAGAAAAAACGAGAACGAAAAGGCAAAGGTAGAAAAGATATATTTTTTCGAAAGTTAAAATAAAAATACAAATCGATCTTTTAACAATATATAATTTTTATCTCATTTCGGCAATTCCATCGTTCGTTCGAAAAAGGAAAAAAAAAAAAAAAATT